CCCCCCCCCCAAGAATCATGGAAACAGCAGTTGAAAATTACACTGGTTTTTGAGTGGAAAGGTTTATCACCACCTAGTGGTAGAATCCTTACTTCTTGTTTCCATTATTTCATTAATTTTTAGTAAGATTCCATCTAAAATCAAACAAACTTTGGAAAAAATTTAAAGGTTTAGAGTAGCAATTTTCTTAATATTTTTTATTAACTTTTTGCCCGATGTAGGATAAAAAAGTTCAACCAATCTTGTAAAAAAAATATTTTTGAGTTGAATGTTTTGTATTTTAATCATTTATTGGGGGCTCATACAACTCTTATCACAATCCATACCCAAAGCCCATCTGTAGGAAACTGGGCATCCCCTTATGAAAGTGTCGTGGGGAGGAGACGAGCCAGTCAGGGTGCAGTGTAGCAATGATGAAACATACAACTTTCCTCTAGTTCCTAAATTCTTGCCCCACTTCTCCCCCCCACTATCATGATCCCAATTCTACCTGACAAATCTGGCTAGACCAGACGATGCACATGGGTACAGATAGGAACTGGAAACATAGGGAATCCAGGGCAGATAATCCCTTCAGGACCAATGGTGAGAGTGGCGATACTGGGAGGGTGGAGGGAGGGTGGGGTGGAAAGGGGGAACCGATTACAAGGATCTACATATAACCTCCTCCCTGGGGCACGGACAACAGAAAAGTGGGTGAAGGCGGACATTGGGCAGTGTAAGATATGACAAAATAATAGTAGTTTATAAATTATCAAGAGTTCATGAGGGAATGGGGCTGGGAGGGGAAAAATGAGGAGGTGATGCCAGGGGCTTAAGTGGAGAGCAAATGTTTTGAGAATGATGAGGACAATGAATGTACAAATGTGCTTTGCACAACTGATGTACGTATGGATTGTGATAAGAGTTGTATGAGCCCCCAATAAAATGATTTAAAAAAAAAGAAAGAAAACAGATTCAACTAAAAAAAATCATGCCTTACAACTGAAAAAAATTTGGAAAGAATCTTCTTTCCTAAAAGGTAATTCCTTAGAACATTAGCATCACTAGTAGTAGTCCTCCAAAAACATGTCACAGGTCAGATGAAATTGGAACCAGTGCATAGTGTAGCCCTCTCTTGGATTCATGATATCCATGAACATACTAACAGCTCTGAGGCATTCCAAGGTCAAGAATCCTATGTAACAATATAAACTGAACACTTTCTAAATGTATTTGGCCATGAGAACTTTTTTCACAAGGAACATTCAACCACACATCACAAGGCACTGGTATTTCAAAAGAATATAGTTTGGGAGAGGGTGTTCTAGACGTAGCACCTTTTACATCTGTTTTGAGCTCCTGTAAACTACCCACACAGAACTGGAGTCAATGATTTACAAGCACGTTTTGATTAGGTTTTATTTTAAATGTTATTATCTGAACCATATATTTGAGAATTTAATGAGCACGACTGTTTATCAACCCGTCCCTTTTTATTTAAAAAAAATTTTTTTTCAACCCGTCCCTTTTTAAATAGCTGTGTACCTTATAAAAAATGTAGTATACTCACTGAACGGCTTAATAACTGACACAGACATATCCATGTGTCATGTTCTTATGCTCCAGGTGCCTTTGAGAAGGAAAGGTGTCGATGAAAACATAAGACACTGGCTTGTACTGGAGATCCCCTTGCAGAGGGGTCTCGGGGAGGAGGCGAGCCAGTCAGGGTGCGATGTAGCAACGATGAGAAATACAACTTTCCTCTAGTTCCTAAAGGTTTCCTCCCCGCTCCCACTACCATGACTCGAATTCTATCTTGCAAGTCTGGTTGGACCAGAGGAGGTACACTGGTACAGATAGGAACTGAAAATACAGGGAATCCAGGATGGATGAGCCCTACAGGACCAGTGGTGTGAGTGGAGTAACAGGGAGGGTAAAGGGAGAGTGGGTAGGAAAGAGGGAACCGATTACAAGGAACTGTGTGTGACCTCCTCCCTGGGGGACAGACAACCGAAAGGTGGGTGAGGGGAGACGTCGGACAGGGCAAGATATGACAAAATACCCATTTATAAACTATAGAGGGCTCATGAGGGAGGGGGGAGCGGGGAGGGAGGGGAAAAATGAGGACCTAATGTCGGGGGTTTAAGTGGAGAGAAAATGTTTTGAGAAATGATGTACAAATGCGCTTTACACAATTGATGTGTGTATGGATTGGGATAACAGTTGTATGAGCCCCTAATAAAATGTTAAAAAAAAAAAAAGACACTGGCTTGCTAGATGTTTTTCCGCAGGTTCTAGAATTTCTTCGTTTTAAGGAATACAAGACTCTCACTTTTAGTTTGAGGGATCAACTTCCAAATAGGACAGTAACACAACTAAATGACTGAGATGAAACTTAAATGCACAGTGATGGCTCGTTGAGGTCACAGGGAAAGAGAACGTAAAACAGTAGACTGCACCGAAAAATCAGAGTTTTGTAGGTAAGAAGGGAGATGTCATGCAAGGGTCTTTGGAACTTCTAAGAGGGGCTTGAGGGAAGAAAGCTGTAGGAGGAACTTCATGGGGAAATCATAACTGTTTGGTGAACCAGGCCGATACATGCAGGAGAAATTGGAGTATTTAATCTCAACAGCAAACTCAGTGTATATGATAGCTACCATGCGAGAGATGCAACTTCTATGAGCCCAGAGAAAAACGTAAGACTAATGGGTGGAAACTGAACACAATTAGATTTTACCTCAATTATGAGGGCTAACCAAAAATGCAAAGACTCTGGTAGAAAAACCAGTGTTCCTCTCAGGTCACTTTGCTTTTGCATTGTTTAATGACCGGGAGGGAATGTTCCTGAGGTACTGGAAAGCATGACTTGGGTGACAGAGCTAGGTAACTTTTAAGACCAATTAAATTTCCGCCTGTGAAAATTACTGTGTGCGCAGACAGTGTGTGCCAAATAAATACTAATTAATCTCTTGCCTCAAAATTTAGGTTTTGATTTTTAAAGAAAATTTACTTTCATTTAAGTATGTCCTTTGGTCCAAAGAAAGGGACTTGGTTCAATTATTGTTAAGTTGTACCTGACAAGACAGGTATGATAATTTTTACTGGAATTTACTAAAATTCCAGTAAAATTACTGATCCAAAGAACTGAATTTTTTTAATGGTAAGATAAGATGGAACTGCTCTGTTTCATGAATTTAATCTTTTGATTATTTAACACAAAATGCGCTAGGCATGGGGCAATGAAGTGATGGTTCTTTTTTAAAATATATATAAAGTTTTATTTTTTATATACTTTCAATTGTCTCGCTACAACACACTTTTATTTCCTGCAAAATATTCCACCAATGCAAAGAAAGTGATGTTTTAACAATAGTACACTACCACAAATACCTTTTTATTTGGTAAGGTGCCAAGAGCTTGATTTAGATGTGATATTTCAATGAATACTGTTCACCGCAAGAGCTGGTAAGAAATCTTAAAATAGAGGGAAACTGGGTTTCTAATGAAAACTTTGCTCTTTAATTGAGAAATGGTTACACCTTGTATCGTAGTATGTCTTGAAAATTGTTTACATGTTTATTTTTGGAGTATTTTATTTCTGTATTTATAAGAGAAAGATGTCTATGGGCAAAGCTGTTATCATTTAGTTAAACTTGTTATCAGCCATAACTTTGATAGTAAGTCTTTTGACTCTGCTCTTAGGGTATGTGTAATTAATATGCACGCATAGACTGAGCGCAATTACCATATTTTATTGACTCTAAGATGCAACGGATTTAAAGCAGCACCTTTAATTTATGTGCACTACGAAAGGGAAAAGGTGGCCAGTTACACGATGACACACAATTTCCAATATCAGAAGCAGTGAAATGCAAAAGCAGGCGCATCTCAAAATCAAGAAAATCTGTCACTTAGTCAAATTCTAAACACTACTTATTTTTTCTTATTTTTCAGCTTTCACATAAATAAGGCATGACTTAGTTCAGCAAAAAAAAATTTTATTTCTGCTACATATAACAGCATATTGGTCTATGAAACAACTATAAATTTTAGCATTAATGTGTGGATTAAAAAAAACAATACATGTCAGCAATCCCTGACCCCAGACAAAACAATGCTGTGCACAGACTCTCGGGTTATATGAAAAAAAGCTGTCACTGTCCCCAGGGAGTGCGTCCAGTCACATTCTCAGTCAGTCAGCTGAGGGCTATGTCATTATCTAGTCTCTGTTCTGCAGAAAGAACACAACACAAGCATGAAAATCATCACCTGGAAGGAAACAGCTCTTGTGCACAGTATTCCTAACATTTCCTAAGGGTTCCTTTAGTTCACTGTACCGGAAGTTACCTGCTTTCTCAATCAGAAATGCTCCCAAATAAGCAAAACCAAACGGACTTAGACAAGGGTCCACGCAGGCACTGAATTGCTGGAGGAAGGACACTGTGAGTTACTACAACATCAGAATGCTCTGGAATGTCAAACTTGGACTTTCCTCAAATGGGGAGAGAAATGTATTTGTACACTGGCCTACCTCCATGAAAACTTTCCCATTTCAAAATGTTACTCTCCAACCAGTTTCTTTCTTCTCCTATCCCGCAGGAGCGCCTTCCTTTACTCCTAGGCTCAGTCTTCAGAAACTAAGAGGAAAGACTCTTCCAAGAACACAGCAGTGATCCAAAGCACGTTCAAACTGGCAAAGTCTTTCATGTGATGTTATGCCATCTTAATGCCAGATACATAGTTAGCATAGCAACAGGAGCAAGAATCTCCTGACGGAGCCCCTGGTAAACCGAAGAGCTGCGGCTAGGAAACATTCAAAACCAGTCTTGCAATTTTCAGAAAACCCAAACTCATTGCCATTGTGCTTTGTCAGCCGCACAGAAACCCTACAGGATTGGGAGGACCTGCCCGTGGGTCTTACTGGCTGTCATTCTTTACAGGGGCAGAAAGCCTCCTCTGGGGCCACTGGTGGTTTCCAACTGCCGACCTTGCACAGTCAGCAGTCCAGCGTTTAACTTCTACTTTTTCTTACCCACAGTACACCCAAATCACCACTTTACACTACTAATATGACCTCACCCTATGCTGGCCCTGAGCAACAGGCCAATCGTGGGAAAGTACCACATTTATATTTTCATGTCTGGCCATGCCAAAGAACGTGGAATTCCTAACAGAGTGAATGGAGAAGGCACATCCTTTTTCAGGGGGAGGAGGAGTTATTAACATTTTCAGTTCTCGTAGCACCATCTGGCCATGAGGCGGCCTTCTGTCACGCTGTTACACACTGCGGACTCTGACAGAGAAGAACCCCCACAATGTTCTAGCTGTAATCCTCACGGACACAAACCCTGCAGCTGTCTCTGTGGAGCAGCAGGGGGGTTTGATCCACTGACCTGTGGCTATCGGCCGAGCAATAACCATGGCACCAGTGCTCCCTTTTTGCGTGTCAGTAATCTCTGAGTTTCTGACCATTTGAACTGCAGTACTTTGGATGAGATGACAAAGTCAGTGCTTTCTCGGACATTACCGATGAAAATGTTTGATCGTGAAACCTGCAAAGCTTGGTTAACTTCACAGGGAACTTTGTTGACCCCTTCTCTCTCAAGAACCCTATAAAAATTGGGCCTGAAAAAGTGGAGAGATCAGCCCAAACAGAGCCAGAGCTGGAAGTCCAACCCACTAGTTTTTAAAAATTTTTTCCATGTAAAGAATCACTAATTTTTTTCCACATAAAGAATCCCTCAATTACTGTCATTTATACATTTTTTTTGCTACTAAAAGACAATGATTGTCCCCTTTTAAGGACAGACATTCTTTGAATACAACCAATAATTAATTCTTAATCCATAACTCTGGAAAATTCAGAGACCGGAATAAACACTCTTTGGGGGTTATTTTAGAGTACAATTTCTCCAAATAGAGTTGAGTTCTTAACTATTTGTAGACACCAAAAGACTGCTTTACTAAACAAAATATTTTATATTTCCCCCCTCTGGGAGCTTACTATTTCTAGGATTAAATGACTAAACAATATATGAGAGAGACTTCCATCACTAATAAAACATTTCTAAATTGGAAGACTTTACACTGGCCCCAAGGGACACTTCTCTGGAGGAGGAATAATCATAATCCCCTGACTTGCTTCCTTGGAGAAGAGGGCCGTCAGTGTCACGGCCTGAGCCAGTCTACTCTGACAGTGGTCAGCTCGAACACTGATCAAGAGACAGAGAGCTGGAGACAAGGCAGAGGCGTTCATGCATCCTTTCAAAGCGAGCTGAAAGGGCTGCCAACTGCTGCCATTTGATTCGTGGTGAACCTGGGAAGGTGGTATGTGGGGACAAACGCTCAGCTTCCCTTGAAACCCAGAATTAGTTTAGAAAATAAAAAGTAGAGTTGCACATTTTTAACTTTAAAGAATGTTTCCCCAAACCACAGTAATACAAACTGTCACACACAAAAAAAGAAATTAAAAATTAGAATTTTAAGAACCAGTATGAGAAATTCAGATGGCTGGGTATATCACCCTATATAGTAGATAGCAAACACTTTGGTCAGGTTCCAAAAACCCCTCTATGTTTTATACACATATCCGTGCATGAGAAACTTTCTGAAGGGATTTTCAGCGCCAAACTCACCAACACCAGTCTAGACACTGCCAACACTTAGATCAATGGTCTGACTGTGATAGATCACCACTGGTCAGCTTACTAGTGAGAAGCCAACATGCTCTTCAGGACTGTTAGAAATTACCTCAACTCATACAGGCAAAAATTCTGCAAGTACAAAAATATTTAGACATATCTTCAAGTTAAAGCTTATGCAAGCACGGTGTATACTGTCCAATCCTCAATGAAGAAGACATTCTCAAAACCAAAACCAAAATGTTTTAGTCTCATTTTGTAATTGAAAGGATTTTATTTTATAGAAGGGTAAAAACACATATGCAGTATGTGGTAAAAAGATTTCTTAGTTTAATTCAAGAAAAGACCAAACAATATGTATTAAAAAATTAACTGGGGCTGCAGCTCTATCAGCCGAGTTTCAGTCCCCCGGGTTTTTAATGAACCAGGAGAGCCCTAAGCAGTGAGCTATCAGCGAGTACCGGTGTGCCTGTGCACCCCTCCTGCCCACACTGCTCAGCCCGGGCTTTCTTGCTTAGCCAAAGGACTTACCTCGGGAATCAGTACGTTCTTTGCCGTTTGTTAGATTCTTCTCGTGGGGAATCCGCCAGCATCACTTTGAGCCGGACCCCATTCAGGATCTTCCCGTGTAAAGTCGTAATGGCATCATTAGCGCTGACTCGATCTGCGTACTTGGCATACCCCACGTTTTTCCCTGACACGAGGTAAACTTCGATCAGGTTCCCAAAACGGCTGAAACAAAGTAGAGAACCAACAGAAACTGATAAACACGGATGACCAGGCCTAGAACTTGGGGTACATTCTGGGCTCCTTTTTCACTCCTCTTTCCATGTCCAGCTGCCAATTCATGCCAATCTTCTTCCCGCCCCCACCCCCAATAAATTTATTATTTTTTAAAAAGCCAAATGCTTGCATTGTCCAGAAAATTGTAACAGGTTTATTTACAAATCGGTCAATGTCAATCTTCTTGAACATCTCCTCCATCCCTCCCTTCTCGCACGCACGCAGCCGTCTTCCTTCACCAGGCCGCCATCAGGCTTTCCTTCATGGCTCTTAAGACCTCCTTCACTATGCCCCGACTTCTAGCCTTTTCGCTCCCAAATCCCGTATCCAGTCTTCTAGGACTGGCCTTTCTAAAGCACAAATCTAACCCTGTATTCCCGTAATAACCCCCTCAGCAGCTCCCCAGGGCCTCCCGGGGAAAGGACAAACTCCTACAACAGCTTTGGAGCCTTTCTCGATGGGGTCCATTCTCACAATGGTGTGCGCGTCTCAATACTTTAATAGCTTCCTCTGCTTCTCCCCCGGAGATTGTGTTCTTCAGATCTCCTAGTACACATTGCTTCTTTCAGGAAGCCTTCTCAGCGTTTCCTAGTGAGGTGCCCTTCCCAAGTACTCCCCAGACTCTCTGGGGCAGTTCGACTGGGTGCTGAAGGGTCGCTGTGCATTGGCATCAACTCCATGGCATTGGGTAAGGGCTAGGTGCCTTACCATAGCACCAATCTCACCAAATTGCGATTTCCTGTTTGTCTCCCACATGAAATCAACGGTAAGGAGGGCAATGGCTATAATCTCCTGCTTATGTTGTGTTTATTTACTTAAGTGTCCTTAGTATTTGACATAGTGCCTGGCACAGACAAGTTCAGGATATGAATTAGTTAAATAAAGGCCAAAATGCTAGAACCACTCCCTGACCATTTTTACAGCACCTCAATAAATGTCCGATCTAACTTTTTAACTCACTGCCATTGTTGGACAGCAAAAGTGAAAAAAATCAAATAAGAAAAGTTAGGGAAATAGTTACATCAAAAACAAGGAAATGAACAAGAACCTTCTTCCCCTCTTTCTTACTTATTAGATATATATTTTTTCTCATCTATTATATATTTCCTGTAGTCAAACCATTGCTTATTTAATGCAATTATAAAATTCTTAAAGACAGTACCTATCCCCTACAACATCCAAAGACTGCTAGGAAAAGAGAAGATATTTAGTAAATTACATTAAGGATGTTCAGTTGAATTACATATAACTCCAAAGGTAAAGGTATGTGAGAAAAATTCAAGTGGAAACACAGGCAAATGCAGATGTTATCTATCAAGGCACATCACTTGCCCACCCCAGGCATATAACTTATTACAACAGTTTCAAAACAAAAAGTAACAGTCATTGCTGTGTGGAGACTTAAGATGCGTACCTGATCAAACAAGAAGCAAATGATAATAAATGTTTTAAGCTGCTACAAGCAAGGGGATTTTTAAATCACAGGCTAAGCTCTACTTGATAGGAAGTGAACATAGGGAGTTTCAAGACTGAGAATGCTTAAGTAACTGGTTCAAATAAATGATACCATCAAGCAGGGCTTTATGGAAGAAAAATCTTACCAGAATATATCCTCTAGTACGTCTAAGGGTAAAGGGTGAGGATTGAAGACAATAAAAAGCCTTTCTTTCACAGTGGTTTCAGGAGGGGCTTTTTTCTTGCAAGATGGAAGTACAACATCTGTTTGGATTTGAGGCAATTGTGATCCAGAACTTCCACCAAATTGCTGTGGAAACATTGGGTGGAGCAATGGAAAAAGAAAAACCACAGTTTAGGGTGTTGTAGCAACTGAAACAGAGGACAATTATCTAGGTACGGCAACTATATATACACACATGCATTGGTATCATGGTGATACCGTTCATCCTAGTGCTGAACATTTTCTTATCTAGATAATTAGCAAGGGTCACTTTTTCACACTACCAATGTCGATGACAGTGGAATTCCTGGCTGCTTACCAGAAACTGCTGCTGACTCGGGTTATTCCACACCATCGATGCCAGCTGGGCCGCTACCATCTGCGTCGCCATTTTTCTAAGGAGACTGGAGATAATGACTGATAATTGACAGAAAACTAGAAATATTCAGTTGCTTAACATGAATTTTTTCTGTGTGACTTCCTTACCTGAGAGGCCAATTGTTTTCTATTTTTAATTTTTCACGTCACAAACATGTCCGTTCAAAGCTTGGCTTTGAACGCTCCTGGAATGGTACTTACTCTGTAGCATTGCTCCCATCGTCAACGAAGGAAACACCGATGCGATTTCCAGGAGGGTACTGAAAGCCATGTAACTTGTATTTTGCATAAATAGCTGATGCTACATTAAAATACTGAACCACCCCATGACCTGCAGGGAAGTAGAAAATACACATGGTTTAAAAGGACGCTGGTGGCTTTCCTAAGGCTTGTGTTGTCGAGTAGATTACAACTCATAGCAACCCTGTCAAATGTCCCAGAAAAAAAAAGTTCTGTTACATATGGATTCAACAGCTGAGTTCTTAGAAATTTAGGTGGAAATCTGAACTTGATATACTAAGGAAAATGAGATCATTTGTCTATGTACTGTCCAATAATTTCATTTTAGGAAACTGGCTTTTCTAGGACACTTATTGATTTACCTATGCATCGGTACTTCTAACATTTTTAGTTTTGGGGATCTATTTTGAAATTCAAAGTCACAATGCTTAAAAACAGATGGAGTAAGGTCATAAGAGTTAATGGGCTTAATCAATTAACTAGATCAAGTGGCTGATATAAAGCCTAGGTTCTATTAAGAGCCGGGAAGAAGTAGTGAGAAGGGCATCTGGAGGCTTGCAATGAAAGGAGGATTTCATTGAAGAAAGTAAAGTTTAAACAAAAGGACGCGGGGCTGGGAAGAAACCCTAAGGGCTCAATAGCTTTGCCCAGCGTTAATCAATACAGCTGAGGCCGAGGCCTGATGGATCTTTGTGGAGCGGCTGGAAATAAGGAACGCTCTCTCTACATACACTGAAGTACATAACCACATAAAGAGATGGTGTTCTAGAGGGTTGGTTGCTAAAGCATCACCGTGTCTGAAAGACTCTAAAACAGTGTTTTAGGCAGTGAACAGACACAGAAAACTCTTGTCATATTACTTATCCGACAACACCCACCACCCCCCCCTGAAAAAAAGTGGCATTGGGGAGAAGTCATTTATCATGTTACCATAATTTGAGTAGGGATCTCGTTGAACTTCACAATACTCCAGTCCCGGTATTATATCAAAAATGCTGAAAAGCTGCTCTTCTGTGAAAGGGACCCTTGAGACAACCGACAAGCGTTTGGAGATGGCTTCCTGGCCTCTGCTGTCATTCTTTTCAAAACCTGAGAACTCAGATTGTTGTTCTGCAACAATACGTAAAATGATAAATCTTCAAGTGTCTACACATTCAAGAATTCACGTAACATTTTAGGAACTAAGAAGTAAGATGAACTTTTACGAAGTCTGTCACAATGAACACAGACACTGCAGTTTGTCTGTGCTCTGGGTGAGCAGAGGAGGCCTGGTGGTGTGGTGGGTTACGCTTTGGGCTGCTAACCTCAAGGTTAGCAGATCAGAACTACTAGCCGCTCCTCGGAAGAAGGAAAGACCAGGCTTTCTACTCCCCTAAGGAGTTAGTTGTGGAAGCCCACAGGGACAGCTCTACCGGGTCCTACAGGGTCACTGGATCAGAATCGACTTGCTGGTGGTGAGCTAGTCTTGGGGAGAAGCACCACCCAAAGAGATGAAGGGCCAACTAGATAGCCTCTCCTCGCCCGCTCCTGTCCAACACTGCCACACACGAGCAAATGCCCAGGCGAACTTCACAGGAAGAAGGTCTGCGTTACAAAGCTGCACAATACGACAAGCATCGCAGCTGAAAGCAAGCTTGCCAAAATATGCTAAGCTCTCTCCACAGACTACATGTTTCATCATGCATTTCTCCCTTGTAGTTTCTTAACGACACTTGTCATTGATCTTCCTTCTCTAGCCCTCATTTTACAGCAGTAATGGTTTCGGGATAAAACTTTAGAACTCATACAGAGCGAGAGGCAGGGGCACAATTTAATATTTATATAATTACACACAGACAAAATATAATAGAAAATAAGTTCAATTTAGGTGTCAAATGGTATGAATATTAAGAATCATCACCAACTTCCAAAGAAAAACAACTATATTTAAAATATTCACTATGTGATGGAAGGATCGTTTTTCAAAAAACAATTCAGACTGCATGTATTACTTAAATTACTAAAGTAATGGGCGTCCACTTACCAAATGGAAACATATTGACTCTCGGCTCATGCACCAGAGACTCTTGCCTCATACTATTGTAATGATCTTGTTCAGAAGATTCAGACGCTTTATTCTTAGGTTCAGCCAAGATAGCCTTAAAGCCTGGGGGGTGACACACAGGGACAGAGAGGAGGGAAGAATCCGTGAATCCACACTTCAGGGGATTGCTGGTGCTTCACTCAGCATGACAGCAGTACATAACAAAATTTAAGCCACAGCCATCTCCGAATTCTTTGCTTTCTGGAAGATGGCGAAGTATAAAGAAGCAGCAACAAGTACCCCAAATTATGGGTCAATGTAGTCACAAAAGATGGACAATTCTATGCTATCCTTCAAACCGCCCCTACAACAGATGACACCACCATACACTCTCCCTGGCTCAGCATCAAGACCCTACAGGGCTTCTTCACATCCAACCTGCTCTCAAGATGCTGCCTTTTAAAATGCATTACAATAGCCCTTTAACAGGGTCCCTTGCCTCTGGATTCCAGGCTCTTAATCCGGGGTCTCAGGTGGGATGGTTCCGTGCACTGCTTTTGAAACTTAGACAAAAAGCTAAAGCATTGACACACACACACACACACACAACACGAGTATTGAATATTTTAAAATTTATTGTTGGTACAGTATAGCACGGTTGAAACACACAACTTTCCTCTAGTTCTTTAATGCTTCCTCCCCACACCCTCCCCCCCATCATGACCTCAATTCTACCTCACAAATTTGACTAGACCAGAGGATGCACACTGCTACAGATAAGAGCTCGCAACACAGGGAATCCAGGACAGATAAACCCCTTAGGACCAATAATGAGAATAGAGATACCAGGAGGGTAAGGAGGTGGGGCAAGAAGGGGGGAACCTATCACAATGATCTACATATAACCCCTTCCTAGGGGGATGGACAACAGAAAAGTGGGTGAAGGGAGACAGCGGTTGGTGTAAGACACGGGAAAAAATTTTCAAGGGTTTATGAGGGAGGGAAAGTAGGGGAGGGGGCAAATGAGGGGGGCTGATATCAAGGGAAAGAAAGAAAATGTAGAAAGCAGGAAGAAAATGTTTTGAGGATGATGATGGCAGCATATGTACAAATGTAGTTGACACAATGGATGTACGTAAGGATTGTGATAAAAGCTATAAGAGCCCCCAATAAAAAGATTTAAAAAATTATTTATTGTGTAAATATGTAACAAAATATTTGCCATTTCAATCTTAAGTTCAGTGACATTGCATACATTATGTTATACAACTATTACCAGTATGTCTCCAAATCTTCCCATCACCCTAACAGAAGCTCGGTGGCACATGGTTAATTTTTTTGAGGGATATGGTTTATAGCTTTCATCATCATAGTATTCACTGCCTCTAAAAAGGATATAATCAAGCAGCTGGGATTATGGATTATGGAAATCCATGACTGAGAAAATTACCAGACCAACTGCTCAAAAACAGTTTTTATTATTGTTCTTTTAAAAAAGTAATATAGAAAGGATTTCTAAGGTGGACTGGGCTTGAATCTAGTTCCAGCATACAACCAGATTTGTTCCTTTTCTAAGTTTCTTTACAGGAAGACGATGCCTTCCTCAGGTTGTTACCTTCATGGTACTAAGGGCAGGCGGTCCTCGACCTGGTTCTGTGCCTTAGCAAGCACCTTCGGCACTGCCTGCGTGTCCACACCAGGTACAAGGTGCGCCTCCTTCTAGTGCAGGCCTTTCTACCTGTTCCTCATCGCTGATAGACACTACACTCTTTTGGATATTTTTTTCAAGTGGCAACTTTTCTTGAGTCTACTACAAATGGCAGTATCTGTGATGAAGGGTCTATGGTAATACAGATCAATAATCCAGAGAACACACATCCAGATACTTGAAGGGATGGAAACACAATAAGGTATGTGCTGTGCTTTCAAAAGAGGCTTAAATTTTTATTTTGTTTTGTTTTGTGTTTTTAATCATTTTATTGGGGGGTCTTACAGCTCTTCTACCAATCCATTCATCCATTGTGTCAAGCTTATTTGTATATATGTTGCCAGTATCCTTTACAAAACATTTTCTTTCTTTCTACTTATCATTCTTTGTCTTCTGGCTTACTAGGTCTAACCTATTTAATATAGCTTTAAATCCCCTAAAGGGTAGACTGGTCATATAGTCCATCTACTTAACACATTGATAAGTATACCATAGGTACTTAATTAAGTGCTAACTGAATCAAATAAAACTGAAAGGATCTGGGGGAAACGTTTGGTATGAACTTTAAAAGTATCTAAGAATTCTACTGATTAATAGTAACTATTCCTGACATGTGGAGACTTTGCAAATCCCACCCAACCCACTAATATAATTATGCTACAGCTCGCCCTCCAACGGTCAAGATAACCAGAAAAATGACAGTAAAGAACATTCTGCATAACTTTAAACAACCTTTTTATTCTTCATTATGTATACTTTTAATAGCAGAAGAGCCAATTAATGTCACTCTATCTTAAAAGTAACCCAATGTATATTTAATTACCTATACCAACAAATCTTGTTAATCCTATCCTTAACCTAAATGTTTATTATTACACTTAGTTCAATTTAGGGTTTAGGTCAAATATGAACAAATACTGTAAAACCCTTTTATTTTTATGTCAACCATAGATATGTATTTAAAGGAGTAAATCAATCTTTTTATAATGGTCACATGTTCTAAAATACTTAAGAAAAAAAAAGCCACTTATAAAAGATAACCAAAGCATGACAGGTAATACAGCCGTTCACATTTCTCTTCAACAGATTGTCTCAATGAGTGCTAAAGAGACCATAGAACCCAAACAACTTGCATCTTAAGGTTATACATATGTAACCCACCCCCTGCAGATGAGTTGTCAGTAAAAGTGAGTTATTACAATCAGCTATTCAGAATAATCAGAATTTTTTTAAAAAGGCATTGGCAACGTTAACCAAACACATCCTTACTTCGATCACAGTTTTCTATTGCTTGGGCAGCTTGTGATGGTTTTAAGTATCGTACATAGCCCAAACCTTTACTTTCTCCAGTGACTTTATTCTTAATAATGCTGCAATACTCGATATCTCCATATACCTATGAAGTAAGATAAAGAATTTGAGAGATAAAATTAATAATCAAATAGATTCTTTAAGAAGTAACTTAAAATGTATGTTTAGGGTGCCTCTTATTTGCAAAGAATGTAGAATTACAATTCAAAGCCACTTAAACTCAAAATGGTACAAACTAATGAGGCACTAACAGGCAAAAAAACCCATAATGATGATGTAATTTAACACCCGCCCTCAACAAACTCAAACTCACTGCTATCAACTCCGTTCTGACTCACAGCCACCCTACAGGGCAGGGAAGAACTGCCTCTGTGGGTTTCCAAGGCTGTAAGGAGCCCTGCTGGGATAGTGGTTACACATTGGGCTGCGATCCATCCCCATGATCCGTAGTTCGAAAACACCAGCTGCTCCTCGGGAGAAATCCTGGGCTTTCTACCTCCATAAATAGTTCCCATCTCAGCAACCCACAGGGGCTCCCTATGAGCCAGCATGAACTTGAAGGCAGTGAGTTTGTTTTTATATCACCACATACAAAAACCAATACCTAAAAAGAAAGTTAACCTATCTTTAAATTTCACTTGCTATGATATTGCTATGGGTTGCTAAGCTAAGTATTTAAGGTTCTAAAAAGAGCTACTTGATAATTAATAATCCACCCTCAATTTAATGACCTAATTCAAAAATCCTTCTTTCAGATATCAATAACCCTAACCGTATCCCAGATCGCAGCGGACCACACGCTATGATTACCTTAAATTTTTCTCGTAGGTCTTCTTCTGAATAGGACTTTGGAATCATAACAAAGATTCTCGTAAGTTCTTCATCTTCAACATCTCGATGACTCCCGGATGACCTGGACTGAGCTATGAAAACCTAAGGAACAAAGACCAAGAAACGAGGTGGGGAAAAATCAGCCACCAGGTTTCCTATTCCTTAAGTATACCTATGTCATGATTACACCAGGGGGCTTTCAAAATTGTGGAAAAATGGAATTACGAGAGAACGAAAATTTCCCACGAACTTTCTGAAGCCCTCTAGTGCGTGATTCATGGTAAAGTGCAATATGATAGTCTTCTTTTTCTCCGTGACTTTAAAAGTAATACCAGTTTCTACACTGTTTTGTTATCTTTTCCAAATGTATTTCTACTTTTTTGTTTTTATTTAGCAGAAGCAATAGTCAGGAAATCTAAGTATAAAATCTAACCTTAATTAACTCATTAGGGCTGTCAGACAGCAATTCTACTCTCATAAGTCATTAGTCTTGGCTGTGTGATCATGAGATGTTGATGGGATCAGGTATCAGGCATCAGAACAAAAAAATAAAATCATTTTGAATGAGGGGGAGGATGGAGTAGAGACCCAAAGCCCATCTGTAGCCAATTGGACATCCTCTTACAGAAGGGTCACAAGGACGAGATGAGCCAGCCAGTATAGCACTGATACAACATACAACTTTCCTCTAATTCTTTATTGATTTCTTCCCACCCCTCCCCCATTATCATGACCTCAATTCTACCTTACCAATCTGGCTAGACCAGAGCATGTACACTGGTATAGACAAACACTCCAACACAGGGAATCCAGGACAGATAAACCCCTCAGGACCAATAATGAGAGTAGCAATACCATGAGGGGAAGGGGAAGGTGGGAACCGATCACAATGATCTATATATAACCCCCTCCCTCAAGGGGACGGACAACAGAAAAGTGGGTGAAGGGAAGACAGTGGTCAGTGTAAGACATGAAAAAAAAAAAGATAAATTATCAAGGAGGTTGGGGGAAGGGGAAATGAGGAGCTGATATAAAGGGCTCAAGTAGAAAGAAAATGTTTAGAACATTATGATGGTGACATTTATGTACAAATGTGCTTGACAGAATGGATATATGTATGGATTATGATAACTGTAGAACCCCCTCCCCAATAAAATGAATTAAAAAAAAAAAGAAAAAAATTAGTCTTGGAAGCTCACAGGTGGCAATTCGACCCTAATCATAGGATTGCTGTGAGTCAGAATTCACTAGATGGCGGTAAGGTGGTCTTTTTTTGGGGGGGGGCGGGGGAGGAGAGCATATATGTAATAAATATCTGTATATAAAAAATATACGTGTATACAAAGTATCTAATTGGGGTGTGGTTCCTAACTCTACTTCATAGCGAGCACCTTGATCTTTACTAGATACTTTTTCGGTGTCAATGCCATGATTTACCTCGTGTCGACTATCCACTCCACAGAAGTACATCTCTACTTGGACTGGCTGGTCTGCCCAAGACATCTGAGCTCTCTTATTCCTCTCGAGAGAAAACGAGGAAGTGAAAGGCTTCACATCTCCTTTTAATTTGTAAACTCCTTGTTACTGCCATTTCTTGATTCTCAGAGCAGTTTCGGCGTTCACACCTGGCCTTCCACTGGGCCCCTCCCCACTGCTGAGCTTTTAAAAACCTTCTAGCCCTCAGACTACCCTCACTCGGGGCCTCTGGAAGGAAAAGACTTCTGCTTCCCTGTCTCCCTTTCTCCGAGGGGTTTCACTTCAGATGGGTTAGATTCCAGGACACCCATGGGGCATGGGCTGTGATGTTGGCTTGTCTGGCAGGTCACCGGGCCCAGCCACCTGGCTCTCCTCAAAAGGAGCAGCTGCGCTGGCTGGTTCCTCTCTGCGCCCTCTCTTTCCACGTGCTCTGTGGCCCATTTGACTTCGGTCTTAGCTCTGGTGCCAAGCTTGCCCATTTACTTTTCTTTCTAAAAATCAGTTACGCTGGCAAATGCTTTGTTGTTTGTTTTCTTCACAGTGAATGAGAAACGTGCGGTCCCCAAGGCTGTGAATCTTAAATGCAGAGTGTGAAGTGCGTCTTAAGTCCATCCCAGTGCAAGCACGCCCCAGATGGAGCGAGCACAGTCCCAGCAGTCCAAAGGAGTCCCTGTAGCCCAGTCCCGTCCCCAACTCGAGTTTCCACGCTTCCGACTTTCATCAGTACGGAGCAAAGGAATTCTTCCTTGCTGCCTGCCCCCCCCACCCCCCACCCCATTAGCTGTAGGAGTCTCGACTATAAATGATTCTTCTCCAGCCTTTAAAGTTCTAAGGTAGGCAGTTTTTGGTGTGGGGGAGGAAGTGGAGGGTGTAAGGGTTACAAAGAAGCCTGCATATTGGAGTTCTGGTGGCCAAGCCTGTTTGAGAGGCCTTTAAAAAGTTCATGGAAAGGAATTAAAAATTAATATCAACTTTCCACAAACTTTTTGAAGGCCCCTTATATATGTGAGAGGCATTGGTAAATGGGGAGCAAAAAGCAAAATGGAGGCTTTTATTTGGAAAGGGGTTAAACTAAATATTCAATTAAACTACACCGTTGACTGCAAAAGTAACTGTGGCTACTATGTTAGCAGAAAGGGCTGTATTTTGGGGGTCCAACCTGAGTTGCCTCAGGTCTCAGAATGTGAGTATAAGAAGATGGCAACCAGAAAGTTTATCTAGAAGTGCCAATAATAAACGATCAATATGGAAATCCGTGTGATCAATATGGAAAGACATAAGGAAGGGGAGACATTATGGGGAAACAAAGGAGCCAAAGGTAAGAATTGTTATCAGAGATTGAGATCATACGTTTATAAATTTCATAAGAGTGGAATGCTTCAAATATGTGACAAAGCAGACAGCGTTCAGTTGGTACATATACACATAATCAAGACATGTATAATTAACCTCCTAATGGAAGATTTCCAGTTCAGATTTTAGGTTCGAAGTCTATGGGCTCTAGACGAGAGAGCCTCTCAGCAAGCTACAACTAATCAAAATCCCCAACTCACTGCTATGGAGTTGAGGCTGACTCATCATGACGAGCCTACAGGCCAGGGCAGCAGGGTCCCGTGGGTCTCTGAGACTAACTCTCCACGAGTGAAGCCCTTCTTCCTCCCTCAGAGAAGCCGGCGCTTTCAATGCCGACCTTGTGGACCGCAGCCTAATGTACAACCCCTCTGCCACTAGGACTGTAACGAACTTTCTGTTTTTGAAGTTTACCGCTTCTCTCCAGAAAACATAGCTCGTCCACAGTATGATTCTTATTGGACAATCTCTTCCGGAAGTACCAGAGTCCTATGTGCCTGGTAGACCCTTTGGGATTTTGCAAAAGCAAAATACATGAGGCACAACCACTCTAAAGCGAAATTAACTTAATTAGAGATACTAAACACACTACTCTGGTTGTGGGAGAAGAAAGCATGAGCTGCGACTGCTTGCTGAAGCCCCTATCGAGAGACTGCAGAGAAACAATTCTCGGGCTGAACTCGAGTGCCCCAAAAGGTCAAACAAACGTACACTTGAGTTCTCTTTGGGAATAAACACTTTCATTTCTTGGTTGCTAAAAGGAAGGGCGCCTGCTAGTGTTGGGACTTTCTCTCGTGAATACTTCATCGAGGAAAAAGGTCATCTTTGGGGCTGCCCATCTGGCCTCTGGGGTCATGTTCCTCAGAAGTGTCAAAGTCCTCTCCACCAACCTGTGGCAGCCATGCCTGCCAAGGGAGATGAAAGCTAGACTCCGGCCCCTGCTTTTGTATCATCCTTGAACTAAGAATTGTTTTCCCGTTTTAAAACGGTTATGAAAATCAAAGAAGAACACGGGACAAGAGATTGGATCTGGCCTGTCACAGAAGAAGCTTGTCAACTTCTGATTTAGCCTATAAAGCACCCGCACCTTGATTGTCCCCTTAAATGAGTCCATATTAATATTCTTCTCAACTCTGCACTGAATAGAAAAAAGGGAAAGGAAAAAAAAAAGACGATGCTGTTGGGTAGAAATGCTTTTGCAGAAGCCCCCAATAACGTAACACACTAACTCTTTCTAGGGGTAGGTGAAGGGCGCAGTTTAGGCAAGTATCAGTCTCCCTGAACATAAGGAATGACATCGTGGCTGATACGGACCAATCGCAGGGATCTATCCAGAGCTCAGCTTGTGCTGGGAATTGTGCTAAAAGTGTAGGTTATCTCAAATAAGCCTCCAAATGGCCTTGGGGCCTTGTTTTATTTGACAGAAGATTAAGTGTGCAAACTAAGAAACGACACCAGGGCGAACCTAAGGGTGCAAAGAATCGTTCGAGAATACCAAAGGCACCCCAGCACAATGATTTCACTCGTAGGGCGGTTTCCTATGATCTCTTTTCCAGACAAAGTGGCCGTGACCAGGGAGTGTCCAGCACCAAATGGACGCTATCAACGCCGTCACACACGGAGGTTACTGCAGTGTGAGCAACATGAAGCAGTTGTAATCACCTGCCCAACCGTATTTCATGCACTTTTTTTTTTTTGCCAATTTCTGAGATAACGCCCCTATCGAGGTGGTTCTCCGTCCTTTTAGCAAAAGTTGTGAAGTCTCCTAACTAGCTAAGGCAAAGCAGGGCCATCCATGTTTACGCACGACTATGGGGGCATCGGCGGGAAGACCACCAGAAAAGCGTGACGGCAGGGGAGGGGGCCGGGGGCTCTGAGCTGCTCCGTTAGCCAGTGGAGGAAAGTACGGGGAGGTCCGGCTTTGCAGCCGGAGGCCAGGGGTGGATAGTCTCGCGCCCCCCTGCACCCCTATCCCCGCATGGCCTCGCGGGAGAGGGTCCTGAGAAACCTCTCCCCATAGCCATTCCCCGCCCTGCCCCTCCCTCCCCTGGGAATGCTACACACTGCTGGTCCGCCCTGGGGGTCCGGGGGTCCCACGTTCTTGGAGCCCCTTCTCCCACCGTCTCCTCCGGACACAACCTCGGCGGAGGGGTGGCCCCAGGGTCCTCCCCGAGACCCCCAGCCGCGGGCGCCCGCACCTTGATGGGCTTGGTGTCGTTGGGGCTGAGGCACTGGCCGTGCATCTCCTCCATGGCCCTGCAGGCCTGCGAGCTGCGCGCAAACTTGACGAAGGCGATGCCCTTGGACTCCTTGGTGTGCTTGTCGCGCACCACCCAGATGTCCTGGATCTCGCCGAAGGGCGAGAAGCGCTCCCGGAGCACGGACTCGGGCGTGTACTTGCTGATCACCAGGAAGATGCGACTGTTGGGCGGCTCGTCCAGGCTGTTGACGCCCGGCCGGAAGCCCCCGCCGCTCACACAGCCGCCGGCTTCGTCCATAGCGCCCGGG